GTTAAAAACACAGGATCTCTGAAATGTACACATCTCCATGTTCTGTTAGGTGTTGAAGCAATTGATAAGTTCTAGTACCTTGAAAAATGGTCAGCACATGATTCTTCCTACTTCTCCCCAGACAACACACCCAGTATAAAGAGATCAGAGAAGAACATACTAACTGTTCTAAAGGCTATGATTGTCAAAAAAGTAGACAGAGATGACTCAGTGGCCATAACAGTTAGGAAATTCAGCCAAGTGGAGATATGAGAGTGGTGAAATACGTTTCTGATTAGTGCATCTGACCATTTTGATTTCCTTTTCTTGGAGTCATGGCAGCTTTCCAGGATGGTTGCCTTGCATCCTCCCAGGGAATGGATATATCCATGTGCAGGTCTGAATGCATGAATACTCATCCTTTTTGGAGACTTTGCAGCTTGTATATTTTCCTTCCAACTGGGGCATAATCAGAGGTGCAAGGATTGTTCTGGAAATCAATCAGCCATCAGTATTGGGGAACCTAATGGATATATGTGAAGACACCTTAAAGTAATATTAACTATGCCTTGCTGTTGAAATATAAAAAATGCAACTTCTCAACAAGGTCTATATTTCCAAACCCTCTATCAACCTAAATTCTAGAACTAGCACAAACCAGATAGAGTCATCCTCTTTTGGCCAAATGTTCTTCACCCTCCTTCCTTCTTTTTTTTTTCAAACAATATTTAAAACATTCATTTTTCTTAAACTACAAAGTAAGCAACGGTGTAGAGAAAAGTTTCTTCTTATAATAAGTCTGAAACTGAGGGGCTGCCCATGGCACAGGCTGTCGAATGCCCAGCATTATCTTCATTCACGAACCCAATTTTTGATCATCACTAAGGCTGAGGAGCACAAATCCAAGAAAAGGAGATTGTTCTTAAATTTGAAATGACCTTGGTTTCCACACCGCATCTGCACACATCTTGGCTTCTTCATTTTGTCACAAAAGTACATATAGCTGGAAGGGTATCTGGACATGCTCATGCTCATTGCTTAAGAACACTTTGTTAAATTTAAGTTCTTCCTACAGAAATAATACTGAGTAAACAAAAGGCTAGGCCCTACTAAGTCCATTATGACAGCCATCATTTTCTATGGCTTTCTATTATGCTTCTTATAAACTGAAAGAGACAATTTTCTCTTGATGTGATTATGTCTTTCATGAGAAACTATAATTGTGACTTCTTTGTAGTAGTCTTTCTCCCAGATGCTACTCCTTGACTTCCACTGGCTTCATCAATCCAAATCTTAATGACAACCCAATGATATAATACAGTAATGGTACCAGATAGTGATTGGCAATACTGTACCAAGGCAGTATACTCACGGAAATAGAATCAGGTTATTCAAAGGTAATCTCTTACCAGTGTAATCATCCACCCCTTCCAATATTGACCATTAAATCAATTTTTCATATCTTCCATATTGCAATTCTCAGAAACTTAACACAATGTCTATCAGGAATTTGCAGAATCTGAATGAGGATCTTGAATTGGTTTGTATAATTTCTTTTCTGTTTTTAATGTTTATTTTTATTTTTAGCATGACTATATATTTAGGAGTGGAGATTCACACATATATATATATATATATATATATATCTATATATTTTTATATATATATATATATATATGAAAGCAGGTGTCTACAGACTCTAAAAAAGAATGCCAGATCACCTGAAGTTCTAGTTATAGGTGGTTGTGAGCCAACTGACTTAGCTGCTGGGAACCTAACTTCTGTAAGAAAAACACTGATTCTGAATCTTTGGGTCATCATTTGAGCCCAAGGTTGCATCATTTCTATTAAGATATATATATGAAAGAAGATACAAATGTTCAGTTACCAATCGGTGCCATTAACCTTCTAAGATAGAAAGATGGGGAGAATATCTATCATTCAGCATTTTTGTTTTTACTAGCTTCTGTGTAAATATTGAAAACAGTAAGTGTGGGTTAAGTAAACTTATCTTTTTGTAGCTCCTTCTGCTACAGTTGTTCACTATAAAATTACAGTTGTTCACTATAAATTGCATCTTGGGAAAATAAATACCATCAAACGTCTCTATGCTTCTCATTACTTTCTGAAGTATAGACTTTCTTTCTGTGCCTTTTCTTTCAATGAAATATTAGATACTTGATCTGTTTATATCTAGAAGATTCTCTTGAAGAATAAGATCCGTATTCACAAAGGAGATCATTTTATTTCCTTCCGTATTTTCTTTTCACCTAACATTTAACACCTATGCCGATCCTCAGATCATATATACCACTTGGTATTTGATATGAAATCATTTTCTTGTCATTGTGCTTTCTACAGAAAGAGATTCAGGGCTAGGCATGGAGCTCATTGATGCAATGCTTCTTTAGTACGTTCAAGCTCTAATGTCAATAAAAGGAATTAGTAATACTAAGATATTTAATTCATTAATATTCATGTAGATGACAATGGACTATATCTTATTTATTTATTTATTTATTTATTTATTTATTTATTTATTTTGGGTTTTTTGAGACAGGGTTTCTCTGTGTAGTTCTGGCTGTCTTGGAACTCACTCTGTAGACCAGGCTGGCCTCAAACTCAGAAATCCACCTGCCTCTGCCTCCCAAGTACGGGGATTAAAAGCGTGTGCCACCACCGCCCAGCTACTATAGCTAATTTAAAACAGGGTATTTTTTAGGCAAAATGTGATATTCATAAATAAAATATAGACTTTTCTTTGTTACTATAGAGCTTATAGTAACAACAAAATGTAAGAATTATCAAAATGATAAATTTTAACACTTGTATATTATTCTGAAAATGTCTAAGCTGCATTATGCCCAAGTCCATAATTACCGTCCTATAGACAATGAACTCCTGTATGTCATAAATCTGGCGAAGTAATCATATGCCAACCAGTCCTATAGAAAATCAGTCTGGAACACTGGTAGACAGTAAGTAAGGGAGAAGCAAATATGCAAACCTAGAAGCCTAAGCATAAGTGGGAACTAGCTGCTAAGGAAAGAGCATATGGTCATTGTGTGTTTACATGATAACAGGCTGTGACTGACAAGTACCAAGAGGAACAAGCATGGCATATGTGGCTAGATGCTAGTTGGAATGACCAGAGACCCTTTTGTAAATTGTGTAGTTTACAAACTGGGAAAGAAAGAGTAAAACTTAATGTTTAGGAAAAGCATTTTCTACATAATAGATCAGCAGCTGTGAAGACACTGGGCAGTAGTACAGCTCCATAATTTAAGAACTTTCTATACTATGGTGTGCCCTGAATTGAATAAGGAAGGGGGAAGTGGTGGAGCTTGATAACATATTTTATTGCACTTTTGCCTTTTCTCCCTTAAAGAGCATTGGGAAGAAACCTGTAGATTTTGAGTAGAGAACACAGTTGATATAACATATTTATAAAAATAACTGCTATGTAGAAAAATAGAAAGACAAGAGTGAATGGGACACAAAAAACAGTTAGTGGTAGATTGAATTATTTGAAAGAGAAATGGAAAACTCTTTTGCTACAGCTGCAGCTTTGGAAATGTTGGGGCATGTTCAGGTTGTGAACATATTTGCAAGTAGAAATGATGGAATTTGCCATTCAGGTTAAACATCACACATGAGATGAGAAGGAGAAGCCAACATATTGCCACTTGAGTGACACTAACATGCTTCCACTAATAATGAGAAAAGAATGTGAAAGGAACAGGCATGAGGTGGGAAGAAAACCATTTTCATTTTTGAATTTGTAAAAGTGCATTTGGACAAGCAAATAGAAATGGACACTAGACCATCACATACTTGAGAGCAGAGGGAAGGTTCCATAGGTGAAGATATAACTTATAAGTCATAAGAATAGAGAATAGAGTGCATGTTTAAACACAGTCACTGATGACCTCGATTCAGGAGTTTTGGAGTTAAAACTGAAAGAGAACATTTCTAATTAATGGATGAGAGTAGGTTGGGAAACGAAAAGCTTACTAACACAGAAAAATGACGAAATGAGTTAGAAATATCTCAAAGCAAGTGGAGCGTGTGAAGGAGCATAAATGGCTAATGGTGTCACATGACTTTAAAGAAAAATGACAGTGAAGTGTTATTGTATTTGAATACATCAGGATCTTTGTAAGAATTCTTTCAATAGAGTCATGGCAATGGCAGCTCGATGTCATCAAAAGGAAGCTGGAAAGTGTGCTGTGAAAAACTCACGGGGAGAGAGCTAATCGCAGCAAAAGATGGATGCTAATTGAAAAGATGTCTATGACAGGAAAGTAGCAGTGCTAAAGGGCCAAGCAGGAAATGACTGTGAGTGAAGGAAGACATTGTGATTTAAAAAAAAAAAGAACCCAGTGCCATTTTCATATTTAGTAAATGTGGAAATACTGAAAGAAAGTAAATAAATGAAATAGTTGACAAGTCTATAGACTAGAAGATATATATTTTTAAACGTGTCAATAGTAATGGTAAAGGCCACACATCAGATCATCAATGTATAAAGGAGCTTTTGCTTCAAAGTAGACTCTACATCCTTCCTCTCATCAACTATTAAAGTCTTAGACTTATGTTTGAAGGGAAATTTAATGTGTCTAATAGGAAGTTGGAGGTGAAGACTAGCTTTAACATTTCATGAATAATTAGAGGGAGAGATAGATAGATAGATAGAGATAGATCTATTAAGAAAGAAAGAAAGAAAGAAAGAAAGAAAGAAAGAAAGAAAGAAAGAAAGAAAGAAAGAAAGAAAGGAAGGAAGGAAGGAAGGAAGAAAGGAAGGAAGAAAGGAAGGAAGGAAGAAAGAAAGAAAGAAATATGATGATACAATCATAGTGCTTCTTATCAATAACCTCTATTTTAATCACTGAGTACTTGTTTAAGATTGTGTTTTGTAGCTGGAGTTGCTTAGGCCACATTTTGACTTCAAATTTCCTGTTAAGTTCTGGGTTGATTCTCCTGCTTACAGAATCACTGACTCCTGTCTAAATCTGTTGCAGTGTGCCTGAATACTATGACTATGGTCATGGAGTAAATGAGGATGCCTATGAGAGCTACGGTAAGACCTTTTCCTTACTATAGCTATGAGATCAGAACACCCATCTGTCACTGACAACTCAGAAATTATGTCTAAGTCCAAAGCATTGTCCCATTTTCACAGAAGTGTCCGCTACATTGATTTATGTAATTCCACACTAAGATTTGACTCACAGAACCAGTGCAGAAAATTGGACAAATCAATTTTGATCAAAATTTCAAAAGAAATTAATCATAATCATAGACCATTTTCGCAGCATTGGTGAGCAGCCAGTAGTGGCACCATGTTTCAGAATGCCCATTGTCTAGTCTTTGGTGTAACCTCGATATTGTGTCTTTCCTTTGGTCACAAGTATATCAGTATAATCTACATTTAAAATGTATTTAGACTTGAAAGTGCAGAAATATTTTTATTATTTAATGATTTTCAAATTATTTCTTCATCATATGTAGCTCTTAAAATTCTAAATATCATTTTTCTTGTTTGTATTAAGAAACAGTCAATAAAGTATTAGTCTATAAAGTTGATTTCAAATGTATTATTGAATCAAGTATCACTAAAAATTCATCATATTCTGTCTAGCAAATACTTACTGAGTGCTTGTGATCTATCGATATAATACTACATTTTGGCAGATTGTGTCGGATTCTACATTGTGCTTATTTATCAGAGTTTCCTTGAAAATTACAATTAGAAATTTATAGTCTTGGATTTTTGTTAAAATTATAACAATTTTCCTTCTTCTGATGGAGAATGAAGAAGACAATGAGTTTGAAACACTCATGTCATGAAAGAGTAATGCTATACCAGGATATAGAAAGAAAGGCACAGATGGTTGTGGGATAGAGGGCAAAAGGCACACAGAAGATCAGCCAGGTAGGAGAAGGAAAGCAAAGATGGTCAGGTTGGGAAGGGGGCAGATGGTCAGGTGGGGGAAGGAAAGTACATGTGGCCAGATTGGGGAAGGAAACTACAGATGATCAGGTGGAGGAAGGAAAACATAAAGATTACAAAGAATGAAGTCATGCTTAGAAACAGTCATTACTCAATAATTCAGTGCCACGTTCAGCAAGAAAACATATCACTATGACCAATGCTGAATAAGAGTTGATGCCCTTCATATAAATTCTTACACATTTATTTATTTTATGTGAACGTATTAAGCGATTTATGGCAAAGGGGAATTCAATGTAAGAGTACAGCTCTGAGACTCCCTTTCTCTTTTTATACTTCACCAATAGTTGGAACTTGACTCAGTGCTGCTACCACATATGTGTGCTTACTGTGACTCAGCACTAAGCAAATCCTAAGGAAGTCTAGATCTAATTTAAATGACCCTGGTTAGAAAGTATGGGATCTCGGAGTACAGGTTACATTAGAGGGCTTGACTACAGGTTCTGAGTAAAGGAGCAAAGGAGAAGTGGGGAAGAAAAAAATGTTATAACCTTATGTTCTGTGTGATAGAGTCCCCATCAGCATCCTCTAGGAACATTCTCACACATCACCTGCATTTTGGAGATGAGAAACTTAGGCTGTAGGATCAAGTAATTTTCCTTTGTCAAATAATTAACATGACATTTTATCCCCAAAAATACTAGCAATGATTCTGGAAGCAGGAAGAGAACCTAGCACTTTTAATCTTAGCTGGCTCACCGCTACCCATTTAGGTTGAGATACACTGCTAAACACACTAGGGCATCCACTGTTACCTGGGTTCAACAAAAAATAACTATATTTATCTTCTTCCAAGCCCATCTCTACTTGTACTGGAATCAAGCAACATGCTTTGTCCAATTTATGCTGAAGATGATTGATAAATAAAATACAAACTTAGCTTTTCTGCTTTTATCATGGAGGATGCTACAGTGTACCTTTCTTTGGTAAATTTAAATCCAGGATCATCTAACACCAGCTACCTCCATCACTTTCCTCAAGTTTAACCCAAATGAGATCAAAGTCATGTACCTAAGATACATCAGAGCCAAGATCAGTGCCCCATCTGCCTTAGCCTCTGGGGATGGTTTGATCGAGGATGGCCATATATTTGAATAATTTGTCCCTAGTTAATAGAACTGTTTGGGAAGGATTAGGAGGTATGGCCTTGTTGGAGAAGGTTCTCTCTCTCTCTCTCTCTCTCTCTCTCTCTCTCTCTCTCTCTCTCTTCTCTGACCTGCTTACCAAGCTATGGTTCTCAACTGTTCCTTACTCCATGCCTTTGTTCCTCAATCATGCACTTTAACCCTCTGAATCCATAAGGCCAAATGAAATACTTTTTTCTGAGTTGCCTTTGTCATGGTTTCTTATCACAGCAACTAAAGTAACTGTGGCAACTCTTGAGATCTGTCTCCTCCATCTGTCCCCCAAAATGTTGGCAATGACATTGCTAAGGCAACCTGTGGTTGGAAAGATCTCAGGACAACAGCATCATAGCTGACATCATCAGGAGTGTTGTGGAAGCCCAACTAGTTTAAAGGCAACAGGAGAGTATATTTTGCACATAGGTACTGGTAGGTGCAAGCTTTGTGATAATTTATATAGTATATGTTTTTATATTGCCCCATTGTTTCCTGTTTAAAAAATAGATGGAAGCATACATATTGTACCAGATTATAATCTTTATGTGTTTAGAACCAAGAACTTAGAAAAACAAGTTTTCAGAATTGGTATAGCGCTGTACAAAGTTAGACAACATTACTCATTTGAAAATGTTCATTATGTGGCTATTACATGTAAGTGTTATTACAGTGTGAGAAGACTACAAATCTTCTGAAATGTTTTTTTCTAATGAGGAGATATATTGTTATTCATGAAATGTCCCGAGATTTTCAGTGTAGTCATTATTTTCCACACTTGGCATGTCAGTTTGAGAAAAATAGCTCCCATGTTTTCTTTATGGAATCACGTGCACTGGAATCAATGCTACATTCGGTGATGTACAGCAGGGTGGTTTGTGAAGAGATGAAGTATTCATTTCTAGATGAAAGAAATTTCAATCAGGGAATGGACCAATAAAATGAACAGACAGTTCTCAGAAGAAGAAATACAAATGGCCAATAAACACTGGAAAAACTAACCAACATCTTTAGCCATCAGAAAGATGAAAACTGAAAATACTTTAAAATTTTAATCTACCCATCAGAATGGATAACATCAAGAAAAAAATGACAACAGATGCTAGTGAGGATGTGGGGGAAAGAGAAACCCTTATTCACTGCCGTTCGTAACATTAACGTGTAAACTATTGGAATAGTTAAGAGATTTCTCAGAAAAATGCAAATAGAGTCACCACATGACTCATTTTGTATCACTGTAGAGTATATATCCGAAGGACTCTAAGTCCTATTACAGGGACACTTGAACCTCAATGTTATTGCTGCCAAACTTACAGCAGCTAAGAACACAATGGCCATCACAGAAGAATGAAAGATGCAGCAACTGTACATGGTAAAGTTTCATTGAGCTGGAAAGGAAAATGAAATCATGACATTTGAGTGGAACTGGAAATAATTATATAAAGTGAGATAAGTTAAACTCAGAATGAGAGGCACCACATATTTTCTAACGTGTGTGTGTGTGTGTGTGTGTGTGTGTGTGTTTTGTCATAAAATTATAAAGGGACCCATGGGAAGGGAAGAAGGGATCTTAAGTGGAGCAGATGAAAGTGCAAAGACACTGATAGCATACGTGTACACAAAGGGGAGGGGGAAACCATTGAGACCAGCATTGGTTTGGAACAAGGGAATGAGAAAGGGATTAGCTAAGAGACCAATAACAGACACACATAACGGCATATGAAACCTATCGCCTTGTGTGTTACATTAAAAAAGATAATTTAAACACAAATATTTTTCTCATCATGGTCTATAAAAGTATTTTCTCCCACTTCACGCTCACCAGGACTATACCATGATAAATGTAGACTTCGATGTGTTTCATACGAATTGTAGTAATTAACTATTGATATGTTCATTTTGAAATTGGTATACTCATTTTGCATAATCACAAACTAAGTATATTTACATCAATCATGTGTTGTAAGAGTGAAGTTCTGAAGAATCTAATGCACTCATATTCTGTGTAGGGGAAAACATGGCCTGAGAAAATAGCACCATAATATCAAAGGCTAATTAAATTTTATATATATATATATGTGTGTGTGTGTGTGTGTGTGTGTGTGTGTGTGTGTCTGTGTGTGTGTATCATGAGAATTCAGATTTGGTATAGAATGTGGTATAGTGGGTTATCAGGATTATGTTGGTAATTGTTGATAAGTGGTTCTGTTTGTTTGTTTGTTTGTTTGTTTGTTTTTTCGAGACAGGGTTTCTCTGTGTAGCCCTGGCTGTCCTGGAACTCACTCTGTACACCAGGCTGGCCTCAAACTCAGAAATCCGCCTGCCTGTGCCTCCCAAGTGCTGGGATTAAAGGCATGCACCACCACTACCCGGCTAAGTGGTTATTTTCTTATGACACTTGCATCCAGAAATTTTTTTCTTTTTCTTTTTTGTTATTGAAAATAACTTTTTGATACAATGCATTCTAATTAGAGTGTCTTCCCTTTTAGAAAATAAGAAAAAAAAATAGGAAACACACACAGACACCATTACTAAAACAAAACATAAAAACACAAAGTAAGATAGTAATATTTACAAACACAGGAGAAAGTTGACCCAAATGCCCATTCAAGTCAAACTGTAAATACCTCCTTTACATTATCATCCATTTGTATCCTCTAGTTAATGAACTGTGGACAGTCTTGTAAATTAATACTCTTTGTTGCAAGCACACATGTTTCATCCTGGCTTTCATCTGAATTAGTAATCCTTCCCTTTTACAGTTTGGTTTGGTTGTATGTTGGATACAAACATTAAACTCCATTGGTTTTGGTTTTCTCTTACAAAATGTATAGTCAATTTCCTGGAACATTCCTTTACCCAAATAGCAATGAGAGGAGTTGAGAGTAGGTTGGCCCAGATAGCTCTGTCTCCTCATGAGATCAGCAGAGAGAACCGAAGAACTGTGAG